GTCACACCTTGTTTGGAAACAGCCCAAGGGTAAAGGAGGAGGTGATACTACTTGGAGCAAACGTTAGGGGTACAGAACATCAGCACTTACTACACCTGACTGGTGGATGACTGCATGGGAAAGCAAAGTACCCCCTCAGCTCCACGTGTGCGTGATCTTCTGTCAGAAAAATTTCCTTTTTGGTACTGGACTGCACTTTCACATGCTTTCTGACATAGCAGGCCTAGTTAAAGAGTTACAAAATATTCAAATAAGCAAACATTTACAGAGCACTCCCAAAGTGCCAGGCCCTACTCAAGTTCAGGAACATAAAAATGAACAATAAACAGCCCCTGCCTCAAAAGTCCCCACCCAATTAGCTCCATGCCGTCTGCTCTGCCCTCCAGCAGCACAAATCCAACCCCACCCTGGAGACCCAGCCCCGGTTCCACCGAACCCAGAGTCCCTTGACCTACTCACAGTCCACAGTGAACTCCCGTCACTTCTGAAATTTGGTTCCACCACATCCCTAGGTTTTATGAAGTGCATGTCATCTCCCTGGCTAGACTTGAGCTTCCTGAGGACAGGCACCTCAGGAAGAATTCGTTAGAATTTTCCATGTAGGAGCCACATCAGTGGGTTATATCAGACCAAGCTCAGACTGAGTCTGAGCCTTCAAATCGAGGACAGTCTTCACTGTCTAGCACAGTGCCTGCCGCCTGCAGATGCTTTATAAACTCTGTAGTAGCAAAGTCTATGTTCAACTCTCCAGCACGTCCATAGGCAAGAACAATCCAAAACCGAGAGGGTAAGAATGAGCAAACAGAAGCTATGCCTTACATGAAAAAATGCTCAATATCACTAATTATCAGAGAATTGCAAATCAAAATTACAGTGAGGTATCACCTCACACCAGTCAGAATGACCATCATTCAAAAGTCCATGAACGATAAATGCTGGAGAGGGTGTGGAGAAAAGGGAGCCCTCCTACACTGCTCGTGGAAATGTACTTTGGTGCAGCTGTTATGCAACACAGTATGAAGATTCCTCAAAAAACTAAAAATAGATTTACCATATGATCCAGCAGTCCCACTCCTGGGTGTATATCCGGAGGGAACGCTAATTCAAAAAGATACATGCACCCCAATGTTTACAGCACCACTATATATAATAGGCAAGACATGGAAGTAACTTAAATGTCCATCGACATTGACTGGATAAAGAAGTTGTTGTATATTTATACAATTGAATACTACTTAGCCATAAAAATAGTAAAATAATGCCATTTGCAGCAACATGGATGGACCTGGACATTGTCAGTCTAAGTGAAAGAAAGGCAGAAAGAGAAAGAAAAACACCATATATCCCTCATATGTGAATCTAAAAAAAAAAAAAAGACACTATGAACTCATCTACACAACAGAAAGAGAATTGCAGACTTAGTAAACAATCTTATGATTATCAGGGAAAGGCGGTGGGAAAGGGTAAATTTGGGAGTTTGAGATCTACAAATGTTAGCTACTATATATAAAAATAGATTAAAAATAAGTTTCTACTGTATAGCACAGGGAACTATGTTCAATGTCTTGTAATAATCTTTAATGAAAAAGATTATGAAAACAAATATATGTATGTATATGCATGACTGGGACATTGTGCTGTACACTAGAAATTAGTACATTGTAATTGACTGTACTCCAATAAAAAAAAAATAAAAGAGCAAAGCTCAAAAAAAAAAAAGAAGCCAGAACCCCATAAGAATCTATGTCTTGCCTCTTCCCTCCTCTTGGCTTGAACAAAGTTACACCACCTTTTCTCACTCCTGTCTGGAGGGTTCCAGGGAGGACTTCCTTGTTAACCTTCCCCTCAGCCCCACAAGTATTACCCAGCACTCAAGGACAGCCTCTCCTCTGTCTTTGAATCCATTTCCTAAAGTCTCTGGAATGAGTCATGTTTAGTAAGTGGAGATGTTTGATGCAAGAGCCAACCCTCCCAGCCCCTTAATTGGTGAGAAAAGGGCATTTACTGATTTTGGCCACAAGATGGCAGCACTGCCCCATTGGTATCTCCCAAGACTACTCAGATGTGGGCAAATCAGAGATGAGGTTAGCATTATTAGGAAAAGGGCACAGGTGAAGTGACTAGATAAACTTTTTTTTTTTCTCTCCTGTGAAGTGATAGAGTCTGAAACTATTGCATTTTAGAACTGGAAGACACTTTAGAGAAGTGTCTCAAACTTTAATATGATTCTTCTGGTGGAGCCTAAGATTCTGTATTTCGAATAAGCTTTTGGATGATGCTGTTGCTGCTGGTTGGTGGATCACACTTTGAGTGGCAAAGCCTTAGAGATCATTTAGATTAACTCTCACTTCACCCAGTTTATGGAGGAAGAGACTGAAGTCCAGAGAGAGAACATGACTTCTGTCACTTAGCTTTCTACATCTAAACCCAAGTTTCTCACTCTCAGTCCAGTTCTTGCTGCACTAAATCACGTGGCCCCCTTTACTATTATAGTGGCATCTCTGTAGCTTAGGAACCAGAACTCCCATTTTCACCACCATCTTGTTTGGTCTTTGCTCAAGTCATCACTTTGGTTACTCCCTTATTCAAAACCTTCAGTGGCTCTTCTTTCACCACAGGATCAATTTCAAATGTCTCTGTTTCATTTCCACGGCTGTGCAACATGGTTCCACTTTTGCAAGCTTACTTAAATTCCCTGTTTCATAATTGTCTTTCCTCTGTAGCTGTCCCTACTCCTTCCTGTTCCCTAAACATACTGTGTTCCTTTCTCAGTGGTTTGGAGTTAGACATACCTACTTTCTAATTCCAGATCCGCCACTGACCTTGGCAAGTTACTTCATCTTTCTGAGGATCAGCATCCTCCTATGAAATAACCACATACAGTGGTTGAATGGAGTAAATAAAATAACATATGCAAACCCATTCTCATTTCTGAAATCCTTTTCAAAACTTGCATCTACAGTAATGCCTGACACATGGTTCTCTGTGTTGGTGTTTCTCTGTCTCTGTTTCCCTAAGACTTAACCATTCAAAGGTCTAACCCGAATTCTACCTCTTTCGTGAAATCTTCCCCAGCAATTCCTGACTAGTTGTTCCCATGCTTCTATAAGTTATTTCACCTGTCTGTTAGCATTTTCTTATGTCCCGGGTCTTTTAGTGAGACCCACAGAGAGGCTTTAGGGATAACTGGCTGTGTAATAATTGAGGGATAATTGAATTAACTCTTGTTTTAGTCTTCCCTGAGTTTTAGAGTGCTCCTTGCCTTTTCTTTTGTCATTTATTGCCTATCACTCCCTTAAACAACCTTGCCCTCCTGCACCAGCAGCACCAGATCTTGGTATTTTTGTGAATATTTCAGGACTAGTTCTTGTCAGTTTCCTTCCAGCCTCTGTATTTTGGGTAAATTGCTGTTTCCCTTTGAGTGTTATTTAATAGCCCCTCCAAGGAAGGGACTGATGAAATCTCATTTTTGAAATCCCAAGATAGTAACACTAAGGAAGTTGAGTGCAGGGTCATTGCTTCAACAGCCTGGTGACAGGAGATGTGTACACTTCTCTATTTCATGAAATTTATAACAAGGTCCTTACTCTCTTATTTCAGAAGAGATTACAGACAAAAGACCAGGTAGGGAGGGCGAGGTTGTCAAAAGCAAGTCATGTACTTCTGACCTAGAGTCTGTAAATTATTCAACCAACTGTACCTGGAAATGTTCATCTTTGCATATGTGGTCACATATTTATATAACATGATCCATAATTCCCTCCCTCAGTGGCACTTAGGGGCTCACATCAGGCTCATGACAGTAAAATTATATGGTGTGTGCTTGCTGCAAAGGTTTCTCTGAGGTCTGGAGAGAAAATAGACCAGGAGGGCTGGACACTTCACTTAGCGTCCTGCTTTCTCTTTTATTGGACAGCAATCTACTCTCCCATGACTTTCTCAATCAGGGGATTTTTGGCCTTTCCTTTCCTCTACCGTGGTTCATGCCAAAGTCCAGAGATATTTATCTGCGCCTGAAACTAGCTGTTCTTTTAAAAAGAGAGGCCCAAGAAATGGCTTCCTTTCTAATTTCCAGAATCCTAATCTTCTTGTCTCAGCTGGTGGTTTCCAACCCTGGATGCTAGTTAGAATCCCCTGCAGGACCTCTAGACCTATCAATGCCTGTTCCTTATCCCCAGAGAGGCTCTTTTGATCGCTCTGTGGTGTGGCCCAGGCACTGGTAGTTTAAAAACTAAATTTATTTTCCAAGGAAAACAGTAGTCATTTTACAGTGGAGAAATCTAAGCCAAGTGTTCAAAGTTAACATCACCAATAGTGAGATATTGATATCATGGGCCTGATATGATGGACTAAGAAGGCATGGCATTGCTTCTGTTGTATTCTTGCCAAAATTGCATAACCTAAGTTTAAGTTTAAGAAATATTAGATGATCTCAAACTGAGGGTCATTATGCAAAATAACTGGCTAATACTCTTAAAAACGTGAAGGTCAGGAACCGGAAGGTATAAGGAATTCTGAGGAACTGGCTCAGATTAAAGGGGACTTAGGAGACAAAACAACTAAATGCAATGTGTGATCCTAGATTGGATCCTAGTTCAGAAAAAGGATGTTACTGGGAAAGTTGATGAAATTTGGATAAGATCTGCAGATTTGTTCATTGTAATGTATCAATAGTCATTTACTGATTTCGATAATCTCTGGTTACCTACAGCATTAATATTTGGGGAAGTTGAGTGAAGGGTATATTGGAACTATTTTGAAACATTTTTGAATGTCTGAAATTATGTTAAAATGAAAAGATAAGAAAAACAAAATAAGAAAACTTCCAGGTAGTTAATGAGTTGCCAAAGTTGAGAACCACTCTTCTAAGTCATCATACCTAATATTGTCAGAGTAACCTTCCTGGAAATGTTTTTTTGCATTGTTTTTGACTTTCTCAAACTTTTAAGTGACTCCTATCATCTGTAGAATGAAGTTCAAATTCCTAAGCCACCATTCAAAATCCCCGAAGCATGACCCCAGTATGCTCCCTTGGTCTCTATAGTAAGACCTGAACCCTGAACATTTTACGTTCCCATGTCTGCATTTATTCTGATCCTTTTCCTTCTTCCTATAATACCCTTCTATTCCTACTGGACCTCCTGGATTATTTTTCATCCTAAGGCTCTTTTCAGATCCTGTCTCTTTATTGAGGCCTTTTATGAG